CACTGCATCACAATGCATCACAATGTATCACACTACATCACAATCCATCACAATGTATCACACTGTATCACAATGCATCACACTACATCACAATGCATCACAATGTATCACACTGCGTCACAATGCATCACAATGCATCACAATGCATCACAATGCATCACAATGCATCACAATCCATCACAATCCATCACAATGCATCACAATCCATCACACTACATCACAATGCATCACAATGCATCACAATGCATCACAATGCATCACAATGCATCACAATGCATCACAATGCATCACAATGTATCACAATGTATCACAATGTATCACAATGCATCACAATGCATCACACTACATCACAATGTATCACAATGTATCACAATGCATCACAATGCATCACACTCCATCACAATGTATCACAATGTATCACAATGCATCACAATGCATCACACTACATCACAATGTATCACAATGCATCACAATGTAAATTAATTTACTGATCCTTGATAAAATAATTAGACATTAGTTACATATAGTAATATTAAGGTTCTGTCGAAGTTGCGGAGGAACTAACAGCAAGTGATCACTAACTGGCATATATGTACATATTTTAATTGAACGTTTAATAAAACTTGATTTTTTAATACTAATGTTGTATGTTTTTATTCAATATAACTTGTTGAAAAAACTAGGAATTGTGATGAAATTGTTCAAAGGAATGCTTGATTATATTTAGAGATGAGACAATTCGATTAATAGACGATACCTAGCGGGGAATGGGGGTGATTTTCGAATGAACATTAATAGTCAAAACAGGTTAATCGAAACGCAATAAAGTGATAAAATAAATTTTAAAGAAATGAAGGTTGAATGAATCACGCAATTCAATACTAGTAAAATGACTATTATTTGTTTGTTGTAGATAATCGACCATGCATATATAATTGCTCATCTCCAATTACAGATGCGTAAATAAAAGGAATGAATTAGCTTTCCGTCTTACGAACGACTGGTAAAAGAGGTTTTTTACCAGTCTTATAGCATCTAACAGTATATTTGTTTCTGTGCTTTACCATTCTATGTAAGTAAAACAAATGATGTACTTTGGGCATAGCACACAGTATCTTCTTAAACCTGGAAAGCCAGACGAAAGTCTGTTCAGCAGCCATTGTATTTCCATTTGGGATTTCAGTTTTTAAAGGCAAAGGATTGTATTTCTCCAGGCATTTCTCGTCTTTGTGATTTTTGATATGAAGGCTATCAATTATTTTACGAATTGACAGCCATGTTTTATCCCATGGTTGAGACCATGGCAAAACTTTCTTCGCTGCTTGTAAGCCATCTAGGTGGCACATGTTGTCATATGAAAAAAAAACGGAACTCCAATTCATTGGGTTGATTTCCTTTAACATAATGCGCAGCCAAGAAAGAGTTATCAAAAACACTTGAGAAGGGCTTTCAGATCTGAAAAAAATCAATTGTTATGTAAATGTATAATAAATACAAAGTTTTTCTGAAGATGCGCTTTTGACAAGCATTCTCTGTGCTTACCTATAAAGAGGACTCCATTTATCGATTATCCTCCTCCTCTAACTATAAACAATTGCCCTCTTGACCACTTTTGAAGTCTTTGTTTCCCCCCAGTTTCCTTATTGCATTTTGTTTTTGTTGGTTCAACACAATCTCTTAAAATAGCTTTAATTGCATCTGGCTCATTATTAACGAACTCAGCATTGCCTATATGGTACAAATTAGCGTTAGCACTAGTTATCAATTGTGTTTAGAAACGACACACAATACACAGCTTTGTTGTTCCATGCATTGTTCAAAAAGAATGAACACCTACACAAGGCTTTCTAAGTTCTAACCGACAAGAAATTTGTCAAGAGATTTGGTTTTCATTTACAAAAGAATGACTTTGAGGCTTGAGGCCGGAAACTTTTGACGCCACACTTCTATAAACATTGAAAATGCGAGAAGGCGAAGAAAAAGCACGCAAAATCAAAATAATCCAAAGTAACAATTTCCCCACCATCACGCGTGCATGTATAACTGTAATCCAAATGCTGCCATAAAAAGTTATTTTTCTATCTTAAAAAAATAATAAGTTATTAATTATCGGTACCAATGTATTGAAATTTCATCATATATATAATATGGATGAGGTTAAGAAAATTCAAATTCATGCCGTCATTCACAAACCTGCTTTATAACACACTGTCATTAACGACCACTTTTACGTTAGTAGGTAAACTTAGGTTTCACTGATATATATTACTATATTAACTATAATGTAAAACTGTTTTTCATATTGTGAAATAACAAATTTTAGACAAATATACCTTGTGACTCCACAACACTATTTCCTACTGGAAAAGTGTCGTCATCTTTATCAAGCTTTCCCAGTGTTTCGTCCATTTTTGACACGTCATTGTTAGAAAGCAGACCTGTGTCGTCAATCAATTCTTCACCTATAAAATAGAGTAATTCTTTGTAGTAATTTTCTGTCAGCTCTGTAATACACATATCATTGAGATAAGTTTAGAGAAAGGAGTACCAATTTCCCTGCAAAACACTATATACCAAAGCAAGAGCAGTTGTGATTAAGTGTAAAAGCTCTGTTAATGTATCTCGAATTGATTATGAAAAATCGGACTTTATTCTCAAACATGATTATAGTCATGACAATTTTGGAGTACATACCTATGTTACTTGGCTTCACACCACAATATCTTAAAAATCCACGCACACTAGTGGGTACATTAGGGAAGTTTTTTTCCAAATATTGCACATGCTGTTCGCAGAATGCCTTTCCATGCTGAGGCGACTCAGTGCATACATTGGGATAGTTCAGCAATGGAATACCTTTTACAAAATTCTGAAAACAATTTCATATAATATTATTAAGTTACGAAAAGCAAAGGAGTAATTTTATATAAAACTAAGATAAGTACCTTTCTACGCATCATGCAATGAGGAAACATTAATTTCCATATTCCATCGGCAACCCATAGCCTTCCACATCCTATAAGTTTGATTACGAAAATATCTTAGCCTGATGAGAATCACAGCTATTTTCCAATAGAATATATTTATAGCTTTTAAACTAATTTTAAAATACAATTGCATCTAACTTACCGCGCTCTTTGCAAGTGTCAGAACAATCATCTAATGTATGCTCGTACAAACTTTTTGCCCTAATTTTGTCGATTTGTTCTAGAACCCTAGAAGAGTCCCCATCTTCTTTAAGCAAACCAAAAAAGTCCAGTTGCCCCAATTCCCTCAACTCATTCTCCATCTCGCCGACCCAAAATGAAGCAGCAACTTGTTTCTCTCCAAAATCTTTATATAAAACGCAAATAATGCTTACCATCAAAAAACTGTAACAACGTGATAACAGTAATACAGATCTACAACATATCGTTCTCTTACTGCCATTGTATACTTCATTAAACGCTTCAGAAAAACCGTTAAATGATACCCACGAATGACAACTATAGAAAACATGTTTCATTTGTAAAATCTACTTGCTATTTTAACATTAATTAATCAAGTGATTATATTGTAACTTACGCGAGTGACAGCTGCCACTGAAGCAAAGTTGAATCAACAAAACAGAGATCCGTAGCCTCGATCATTTTTCTTTGTTTGGGATATAACATCCAGCAATCTTTCCCATTACCGTACTTGGAGTATCCATAAAGCAAATTACAGCGATTGCATCTAAGCGAAACTTTCACTCCATCGGTAGTTCCAGAAAGATCGTGTACCTGAACTTTTACTGGCTTATTGTAGCTCACAAGATCATGGTTGCACTTAATACATTTGGAGCATGGAGGTGTAAATACATGCAACTTCTTATCGGTTGTACTAGGAACTTTTAATTTAGAAGCGGACTGTAAAAGAACATTTCCATCTTCTTCTTCTAAATTTGGACATACCAAAGCCAACACTTCTTTACGTACATTCACGGGGAGTACAAGCAAAGAAGACGCAACATTGGCAATAGAGCACACAAGTGACAACCCATATTTCAAAACAAGAACAAACAGAATTACATCAACATTTAGATCATTGCAGACTTTCAAATTAATAGATTGGATATCACTTAATATCCTCGACCCCACATATTCTTGATGTAGTTCCTCGTTGACATCTTTTCGCAAATCGTCAACCGATTGACAATTGTTACGCCTGCGCTTCGACATATTTTCAGCTTTTCCTAGTCAGAAATGGTTTCGGCTTTCCCCAGTGATCCAGTGAGAAATGACTTTGGCTTTTCCCAGTCAGAAGTCATGGGAAATACTATTATTATGCATATTATGCAATCTCGATTGCAATTGGCTAAGAACCTACCTACACTGCTATAGGTGACATATCATATAATTGTTCATGCAAAATTGTAAAAAAGTATAATGGCAGACTCTTGCTCGATATTTGCAAGCGTTTTGCAAACTTTTTTCGCTCGAATTATTGAGTATTAAGACGTAAAAATAAACGAATGGATTAAATTGTCAGTGAGGAGAGTTTTCATCGAGTATTTTCGGGAGAAAGACGAATGCGACACTGCGGACATTACGTCATTCGAGTGTGATAGTGTGATGTTGTGTGATGCATCACAATATTGCAAGCCAAAGTAGCAAAAAATATATTGCGCATCAGATGCATATTTTTAGCTCAAGAATCTCCATCAATTAATTTTCTTTACTGTTTTAAATTGAATACCCAAGAAAACAGTCAATAAGACGTTATAAATTTTGTATTGCGTTAAACACGATCACAAATGAGCGCCTAGAATCTACGTAGAAATAGATGAAACAAAAAATTTTCCTGTTCGCTTGTAACAAATAACAGTCGAAGTTAATTCACAGATACTCTATCAACGCTTCTAAAAGAACCACTACGTTTCCTGTGATTAATCCAAAGTTGGGATTGGAAAGTTCCACTGAAGGAAAGTTGGAAATAATAATCAAGAGCTCAAACAAATATTTGCCGTATCACGAGAAAAGATGGAGATACGGCCGTCACAACCAGCAGCTATGCAGTTCTTGGAAGATGGAAATTCTAATATGAAAAATGGCGATTACGAAAGGGCAATTAAACACTACCAAGAATGTTTGAAAGTTACAAACGAAATTAGCGTCAAAATAATGGCGTTCTTTGGTCTTGGTAACGCTTATACTCTCTCTGATAAATGGCAGGAAGGATTAAACTGTTTTAATGATTGTTTGAATCTTTCTTCTAAAGTGGAAAGTAAGTATTTTCAGCATGAAATATACCTTGGCCTGGGGAGTATTCATTCTACCTCTAGCAGACTGAAGGACGCCATAAAGAAAGATGAAATGGATTGTCTCTGCCATATTGCATTGGGAGGATTGAATAAGTTGCTTGGAAATTATGAGAAATCTCTGGAGCATTACAAAAAAGGATTTAAACTTCTTGAATGTCAACAGCAACACGAAATGCAAAAAGGAAACCAACATGTACAACAACAAGAACAAGAACAAAATGAACAAGAACAAAATAAATGTCAACTACAACAACAAGAAAAAGTTGGTGGTATTAACATTAGTAAAGATTTCGTTGGCCATTACTTGAAGAACTTGTCAATTGTTACTTCAGATGGAATTGTGAATGGAGTGTTAGCTGTTTATTGGGAATTAGCTGAATTGTTTGATAAACTTGAAGATTGGGGTGAAGCAACACATATTTATAAAATTTATTTGGAGATTGTTACAAATGGCGAAGATATGGAGAAACAAAAGGAAGGGCGCCATTACTTAAAGGATTCAATAGAACTGAAATTAGAAGACCTTGATAGGAAAAAGAAGAATAAAGGTACAGAATCAGATTAATTCAACTTAAAAGATAAATTTTACTATGAGTCAACTTTTATTATAAGTTCAAGGTTGAAAAACTAAATATTTCTCTTTCAGAGTTTCACTCAAGTTGTTCGTCACAAAATTGTTTGTGTGTAATATTCTTTTAACCGTATTTTTGTTATCTGCTATCCTCCACTCATGCCAAAATGTATTGCCTGAACCAGTGGCCTTAGAAGCAAGGGAAATTTGGGGGGCTCAAGCTTTTTTAGTAAAATTTTTCATTCAAAAACGACACTTTTCTTGTAAAAAAAGGCAATTTTTTATTTTGAATTTAAAAGTTGTAGAAAACACGTACCATCCTTCCTACGTCACTGGCTTGAACAAGTTGTTGATGATGGTTTTTCATAAAATATTTTGAAATGTACACTTGGTATGAAAATCCTCAATGCAATAAAAAGAGCTACTTTTATACATCTGATTATTCATTAACATTTGCTCTCTATGAATGTAATACTTATAATTTCAATTTCAGAACTGCAGTTACATGAATGGATATACCTTGGTGAATGAACAAAACATAAAGAATTATTCCAAAAACTTATTGAGTATGGGCGCAATTCCAGCATCAAGGTTGAATATGTGGGTGATGTATGTGTAGTTTTCTCTGAAGAGTTTTGTATCGGCAAAGGAAGTGAAGGAACACGTGTTTATCTTGGACTTGGAAAAGATGGTTACGGTAAAGCAGTGAAACGAATGCTTAAAGATAACTTCATCAAGCTTGCACAGCAAGAAAAGAAAATTTTAAATCAAATCAACTGTAAGGAGTCGAATTATGTTGTAAATTCTTTCCACTTTGAAGAAGTTACCGGAACTGAATATGTCTATTTGATACTCGACCTATGTGAAGAAACTCTAGAGAGTTTTGTGCAATCTTCTAGTTTGTATGATCTTCAAAAATCTCTTCCTAAAATTCTGCGACAAGTGCTAAAAGGATTAGCTGATCTTCACAGCCACCCACATCCTATTCTTCATCGGGATTTGAAGCCTTCTAATGTTTTCCGAGACGCACAGGGCAAATTTTTAGTAGCTGACTTTGGTATGAGTCGAATTTTAAAGAATGAATCTAATACATTAAAAAGTGGCACCAAAATGGGAGCTGGGTATTGGATTGCTCCCGAATCATATTGTAAAGGTGAAGATTCAGTTGATAAAGCACATTACAAAAAAGAGTCTGATGTAATGGTAGGTTAAGAATTGTACCATTTGCAAATCGAAATGTAATTTGTTAACATTTTAAAAATGCTGAAAAAACGTTTTCATTAATTTTAGAATGCAGGAATGGTGGCTTATTATGTTGCAACAAAAGGGAAACATCCTTTTGGGCCTCCAGAGTATAGACTGAAAAACTTGTTAGATGGAAACCCTGTTGGCTTAAAGGAAATCGACGACGTTCAACTTAAAGATCTACTTTCATGGATGCTACAACGTGTACCTGAACTAAGACCATCTGCCAACGAGGCGTTAAAACACCCTTATCTACAATCCTATGAGAAGAACTTTGATATGCTGTGTGATGTGGCAAACCAACCAGGGATAGAGATACCGTATTTAGGTCATCCTCTTAACTCAGATGTGCATGAGCAGTTAAATGGTCTAAAAAATTGGATGGACCGTATTGAACCCGAAGTCTTTAGTAATTTCAATAAAAGTCAATACGACTCCACATGGTTGGGTTGCTTGAAATTTTTGCAAAACGTTCACCAGAATCGGCCTGAGAAACCACTCATACATATCAAGGAAGGCAACTATGAAGAGTATTTCTTACGAGCTTTCTCAGAGCTTCCTCTATTGGTACATAGAATCACAAGGTTTAATGATTGGAAAACACAACCTGATCTTGAAGAACATTTTACAAGTAAGTTATAACCACTGAAATAATTCTATTATTTTCTATGATGGATTTAATTTTAGGCTTTCTTTTCAATGTCAAAACAATATAGCTTTTAGTACAAACTTTTTTTAAACATGCTGTATTGATGTATTGATAAGACTGACGAAAACTTAATCGAGTCAGTCATTTAGAGTTTCCGTGTAAACTTTCATGGGATGAGGAAAACATGAATCTTTGTTTTTGATTCTTTGCTATTTAGCAATTAATTTTGGCATTGATATCGCGTTAAAGATTGGCAAATATTCTTTGCATTTTTAGCATTTTAAATTTTTGAAGATCCAGAGCCCAAATACTCTTAAAGACTATATCGTGATGTTTTGTTTTCATATGGTGCATGGTCTTTAGCCTGTAGTCAAATTTCATTTGTAACAGTTTTAAATAAAGTTAGTAGATTCCAACTAATATTTCAGAGTGACAGTCAATAGTAAAAGTCGAGAGTAAAAAAAGTCCATATTTTAAATGAATAGTCGAGAGTCGAATTTAAACCGATTGTATCAATAAGCCTATATTGTAAGTTGCTTTGTAGCTACGTATTGTTTGTTATTGTCGCTTATTCATATTTCTACTCTTCTATTGTAGAATCATGTTTGCAAGACTTAAGACTATTTTTAGCTAATTGTTTGACTATTCTTATCATTCATGCCTAACTGTGACAATTTTACGTGATTTTAAGACTTGGTGTGGCCAGAGTGGAAATATATTGATGAATCAACACAACATAGAGAATTGTTTTTAAAATTGATCAAGTATGGATGCAATCCCAACGTCGTCATTAAACAAGTGAACGATGCAGGTGTAATTTTCTCAGAGGAGTTTTGCATCGGTAAAGGAAGTAATGAAACCCGTGTTTATCTCGGACTTGGAAAAGATGGTTACGGTAAAGCAGTGAAACGAATGCTTAAAGATAACTTCATCAAGCTTGCACAGCAAGAAAAGAAAATTTTAAATCAAATCAAAGCTAAGAAGTCGAATTGTGTTGTAAATTATTACCACTTAGAAGAAGATACCGGAACTGAATATGTATATTTGATACTCGACCTATGTGAAGAATCTCTAGAGAGTTTTGTGCAATCTTCTAGTTTGTATGATCTTCAAAAATCTCTTCCTAAAATTCTCCGACAAGTGCTAAAAGGATTAGCTGATCTTCATAGTGACCCACATCCTATTCTTCATCGGGATTTGAAGCCTTCTAATGTTTTCCGAGACGCACAGGGCAAATTTTTAATAGCTGACTTTGGTATGAGTCAAATTTTGAAGAATGAATCTAGCACATTAAAAAGTGGCACCAAAATGGGCGCTGGGTATTGGATTGCTCCCGAATCATATTGTAAAGATTAAGATTCAGTTGATAAAGCACGTTACAAAAAAGAGTCTGATGTAATGGTAGGTTTAGAATTGTACCATTTGCAAATCGAAATGTAATTTATTAACATTTTAAAAATGCTGAAAAAACGTTTTCATTGATTTTAGAATGCAGGAATGGTGGCTTATTATGTTGTAACAAAAGGGAAACATCCTTTTGGGCCTCCAGAGTATAGACTGAAAAACTTGTTAGATGGAAACCCTGTTGGCTTAAAGGAAATCTACGATGTTCAACTTAAAGATCTACTTTCATGGATGCTACAACTTGTACCTGAACTAAGACCATCTGCCAACGAGGCGTTAAAACACCCTTATCTACAATCCTATGAGAAGAACTTTGATATGCTGTGTGATGTGGCAAACCAACCAGAGATAGAGATACCGTATTTAGGTCATCCTCTTAACTCAGATGTGCATGAGCAGTTAAATGGTCTAAAAAATTGGATGGACCGTATTGAACCCGAAGTCTTTAGTACTTTCAATAAAAGTCAATACGACTCCACATGGTTGGGTTGCTTAAAATTTTTGCAAAACGTTCGCCAGAATCGGCATGATAAACCACTCATACATATCAAGGAAGGCAACTATGAAGAGTATTTCTTACGAGTTTTCCCAGAGCTTCCTCTGCTGGTGCATAGAATCACAAGGTTTAATGATTGGAAAACAAAACATGATCTTGAAGAACATTTTACAAGTAAGTTATAACCACTGAAATAATATATTATTTTCAATGATGGATTTAATTGGCAACTATATGACAACAAAATTTATCATGACTACAAAACTCTCAAGAATTAATTGACAACTGTAAAGAGTATTTCTTGAGAGTTTTCCCAGAGCTTCCCCTTTTTGGTCACAAAATAAAAGTTATACAGAAGGGCCACTCAAGTGTGCACTGCGTCCTTATGTCCGCCATCATTCCAGCAAGATACTTAAGGCTTTTCACTTGTTTCCAACCACTGCAATTACATGACGTCATTTCTTCATAATGAACTCGAAAATATTTCAATATAAGACGTCGTGTCATTTCAGTGGTTGGGAACAAGTGAAAAACCCTAAACATCTTGCTAGAATAATGGCTGCCGATATGCGCGGCACAACATGCGCGAGGACAAAAACATCAAAGGCTTCGACACGAGTGACCCGTCTGTATTTTCCGTATTCTTTGTTTTGGTGTACAGAATGATAAGGTTAAGAGAATGGAAATCAAGACCTGATCTTGAAGAACAGTTTGTGAGTAAGTTTCAGTCAAAGAAATAATTCTTCAGTATGAACCAGATCTATAAATTAATGTTGCATTTTTCTCTGATTACTTTCCAACATAGCAGTTTGTTTTTTCCGCCTGTTTGCAAGGTGATTTAAACGTCCGTTTTTTGTCGGGAATCGTATAAATATACTTTTTCTCTGTTAATTTTTCCTTTTTAAGTCTTATAATTATATTTTATGTTCTAGGAATGTATTAAACTATTTTAGAAAAGTTAACTATTTTATTATTTCTTTCTGAAAAAGTCGGTCAGGTGAAAAGTCTTGTTAAGACTTTATTATCTTGAATAGGTAAATGAATCACGAACAAATTCATGCTGTGTTATTATCAAAGGATCGATGTTAAGCTAATTTTCTTTAATTTTAATCCACTCCTTTGATTCATCGTCACTTTGTGCTGTGATGTGTTTTAATTTTTTATAGATATTCTTCATTCATAAGGTTGATAAGGTTGTCGATGTAAATATTTTTCCAATTGAGTTTCAGTTAGCTCTGGAAAGGATTTACGACGTCGTTTTCAAAATTTTTCATTGAGCACTTTTGTTTCTGCTGAGACAATGATACAAATTGCTGTTGCGTGCATTTTTCAGTTGTTCAACAGTTTTGCACTCCAATATTTAAAGTTCAAGTTTGATCTAAAAAAGCATAAAATCCAATTCAACTATTCATTAAAGAATATCGGTTTACCCTGTCATTACCAATATATTTAAGAAGACCGATAAAAAAATGAAAAGCTTGATTATGACAATGAGATAGAAAACATATTTTTACTTTAACAAAGAAGAAGTTGTGAATCCTTCTAAATTTAAACTACCTCTCAAACACTGGGCTCCAACAATTCATCTCTCGAAAGATTTTCTTAAAAATTCTTTAAAGCGACATTCTTAAAAATTGTCTCAAGTAACAATAGTTTATGAATATCGACGATCAGTTATTAAACTCACGCAATATTGTGATCATTTGTTTCTTGATTGCATTGGCATGAAACTCTCAGTAACTAGTGTAAGAATTGTGACTAGTTTACTTGTAAATATATACTCTATTTCAATATTGAGCACTTTTTATTCGCAATAATTTTACACGAAATTCAACTAGCTATAACGCATTTTGTTTTAATGTGGACAGTCAAAAAACGGAGCCTTTTGAGAACGATGACGTCAATGACTACTTTTTCTGGCATTTTTAAAATTCAATACAAATTTGGCGAGCCTGAGTGACGTGCTTTTGAGGTTGTATATTTGTTTAATCCCTATTTTGGAAGTTAATATTTTGATTTCCTAGCTTTTATTGATAACTTATAAAAGGAGAATTTTGACTCTTCGAACATTGGTTTTTCCAGTGGCTCACACAACCACTATCGAATAAATAAGCCATATGAAAGAAGGCCAGAAAGATTTTGGTTTTGTCCAGGAAGAACAAGCGCGTGGTGGGATAACTTAGTATCTGAAATTATGAATTACTCGCCATGGAAGATACCTTTAATGACGCAAGATGTCACGAAAAGTGTGGGCGCTTTATGTATAAACATGCGTAGTTAATTATTTAATACACTTTTATTTCGGTAATAACTTTTAATTTCGAAAACGCATTAGTGTGGAGAGATGCAGATAACACAAAAAATCTGTCAATGTTGCAAAAAGTTTCATAAAATAACTTTTAAACTCGTAGAAATTTGATTTTAGTAAACACTTAACTATTTCCGAGCTTTAAATAACTTAAATTACTACTTTTGTGCGTTTGCAGATTGTGTTAAGAAGTGATTGAGTCATTTAAGCCTTTATGCTTTTTAATTTGTGGAATGATTTTCATGAGTCATTACTTTAGTTATACTCACTCTTTACTCGACGCTTGAAAATTAACATGTTCGCCAACGCATGATAACCGGCATTGCTGAAGTGCGATAATTTTTCTGATTTGTTTGTTACTAAATGTATAGATCCACATAATTTGTAACATCTTAAATTGCCTTGAAAACAGTACAAGCGTAAGAAATATTATACACCATGTTATACGCCATTGAAAATAATGAATTTTGGCAATTCAGACAAAAGACACCAAACGGGTTACTTTATCAACAAATTAGTAAAAGATGATCAAAGAGGAAGATATGCTCAATGAGATGAAATATGGTGCAGTCAAAGAAGTCCGAAAGCCAAATAAAGTGAAAGGGACTTTCATCACGAAAATTGCGCAAAGCAAGTTTTAACAGAGCAAGTGATACTTTGTGGTATTGTATTATAAGTAAACGCACGCTTTCAGGGATGTAAGAAATTAAATGTTCTGCTGACGAAAGCGAGGCTTAGTAACGTCAAAGAATATTGAGGATGGACGTTTACGACTAAATATCCTCATTCCTATATTTGCGGTAACACTTTAGTAAATATTTCTGTTGCAACAAAAGAAACCGAGGCGACCATATCTGTTGACCGATGCAGACCTGTATATTCGATTATCGACTGTTGCTATGAATGATTCTACCTCAACTGCCATCTCCAAATACACTTTAGCATCAGTTGACCAAGTTTAAGGAATTCGTGTGCTTTACTTTAAATCAAACAGAAGATCATAAAATGAAAGCTTTAAGAAGTGATATTTGTGGTGAATATTGGTAGAGGCGTTTCTTTAGTTTTGTGCTGCAAAGGTTTTGTGCAATAAACTACTAGCTCTTATTCTCCAGAGCATAATGGGTTGCAGAGCGTTTGACTGGAAAAATCACAGCATTGAATCGATCAGTGATGACGCTGTTTTGTTGGCTATATAAACAGACAGAAACGCAATAAATTTTACTTAATATTCACATTCTGGTGTTATGTATATAGTTCAAGAACATCGACGATGGCAATGTTCATTTTCTACTGGGAATGTTGATCTGCGATTACTTAAAGAAGATTTTCAACCAATTTGGGATGGAGAAATGCAAACGCATGTACACCTGTCGAACCGTTGAAAAAAATTTTAGATTTCTCGGTTTACAAGACTTTTAATCACAGATATCCCTGCGTTTACTTACAATAAAGTTGCTTCTTATTTTCATCTCAAATAATTTACCAATGTACAATATAATATCAGAGAGATTGGCATTATGATTGAATGTGGACAATACCATTGAATGAAAGTAATATCCGATCAAACTCGAAGAAATTTTCGATCTGTCTCTTGAGTAACATTTTAATGTCCGAAATTAAGATTAGCCTTTTTGAAAAAAAATAAATACATTACCATTTAATGTATTGAATAATATACCAAAAAGCCGAGCCTATACTATTATGTTATTCGGACGTATTCGAATCTTGTGTGCGATGAATTACTTTCAGCTCACTTCCACATGTTTGATTATTTTCATTCCTTATCCTTAAATGTAATACTTTTACATAATTTTTAGACTTGCAGTTGAAAGAATGGAAGTATTTTGATCAATCAATAAAGCACAAAGATATGTTCTTTAAATTAATTAAGTATGGATGCGACTCAGATATCAAAGTTACATGTGTGAACGACGTACGTGTAATTTTCTCGGACGAGTTTTGCATTGGCAAAGGAAATAATGAAACCCGTGTTTATCTTGGACTGAAAAAGGATGGTTATGGAAAAGCAGTAAAACGAGTACGTCGAGATAACTGTATCAAAGAAGCAGAGAACGAAATGAAAATTTTGAATGAAATCAAAGCTAAGAAGTCGAGTTATGTTGTGAATTATTACCACTTAGAAGAAGATACCGGAACTGAATATGTCTATTTGATACTTGACCTATGTGAAGAATCGCTGGAGAGTTTCGTAAAATCTTCTACTCTGGAGGGTCTTCAAAAATCTCTTCCCGAAATTCTCAAGCAAATTTTAAAAGGATTAGCTGATCTTCATAGCGAACCAAATCCTATTCTTCATCGTGATTTAAAATCATCTAATGTTCTTCGAGATGCACAAGGACAATATCTGATAGCTGACTTTGGCATTAGTCGAATATTGAAAAATGGCCTTAAGACACATGTAAGCGATGCTACTAAGAGAACTCAATATTGGATGGCTCCTGAATCTTACGTTTCTAGTGAAGAATCAGTTGATAAACACGATACAAACCAGAGTCTGATGAAATGGTGGGTGTAAAAATATAACCATTTGCAAATTACTTCCAAATTTTTTAGAAATCTTTTTGACACTGTTATGTTTTTATATATTTTAGAATGCAGGAATGGTGGCTTATTATGTTGCAACAAAAGGGAAACAACATTTTGGACCTCTAGAGTATAGACTGAAAAACTTGCTAGATGGAAACCCTGTTGGATTGATGGAAATCGCTGATATTCTACTTAAAGATCTTCTTTCATGGATGCTGCAACATAAACCCGAACTCAGACCATCTGCCAAAAAAGCGTTAAAACATCCATATCTGCAATCTGCTGAAGAGAACTTTGATATGTTGTGTGATGTGGTGAATCAACTGGAGATAGAGATAAGTGATCCTCTCAAGTCAGATGTCCATAAGCAGTTAAATGATCCAGAAAATTGGATGGACCGTATCAACGGAGAAATTTTTAACAATTTCAATGACTTTGACCCTACATGGTTAGGCTGCTTAAAATTTTTACAAAACGTTCGCGAGCATTTGCAAGATGAACCTCATCCACAACTGCCGCCAAGTGAGGGCCACTATAAAAAGTATTTCCTGCAAGTTTTCCCGGAGCTTCCTCTTCTGGTGCACAGAATCATAAGGTATATCGAAAGGAAATCCACTCCAGATGTGGAAGAACAATTTGCTAGTAAGTTAACCATTAAAATATTTCTTTTTCGTCAATGATGTTGCTAATCAATCTCTAAAATGTGTAAATGAAAAAATGCAACCTAGTCAGTCAGTTATTCCGGTTATACAGTCGAAGTATAAATTTTCTGTGTTTGATTTGTCGCGATATGTTTGTTTATTAGTGCATCAAAGATTGTTATGAAGAAGCTAACCATTTTAAAAATTTTATCTCCAGCATCCCTTTTGACGTTATGAAATGGTTAAAACGCAAATATATTTTTAAAATATACTAATATTGATATGGAGATAAACAAGGAGTAAGTGTTTGCAGGGACTGCGAAGCAACATTATGAAGTGCAGGGCTAAGTCTTCAATTCTACTATGGCGTCTTAAAAAGTTCCTCTAAACAACGACTTCAGCTCAGTCTAAATATATTTTTTCCAATATATTTTCTAATTTTTAGAATCTGTGAATAATAAGCTTTCCCCTAAGATGTAGCTACTTTGCTACTATTATGATAAATATTTTTGTTTCGACAATAATTTGTAAAAAAAACAGCCTTATTTGGCGTGCATCAAATGATTATCGTAGATTTTTGACGATTAACTTCATACAGTTGGATGTTTTAAAACATTGATACAAGTAACGTTTAACAAGGATGAGTACAATTTCTGAAAATTTTCTTCCTGCGTATGTTTAATTTTTATAAATTTTCGTCTATGTTAAGGCATAGTTTATCAAATCACGGAAAGTTGCTTTGTTGACGTACGGCGTTTAAGGTTATGATGTTATATGTAATTTAAACGCCTTAATGATTGAATATTAAAACTGTGCAAGAATTCTATTTTAATCTTTTCATTTCAACGAGTGAGAAAGACAAAGATTTGATAAATATGTATTTATGATTGCAGAATTTCCTAATTCGATATTCACCCTGGATAATACAGAATTTATAGAGTTGCCTTCAACGAATGAAAAGTTACTTCATGGATGACGGTAAGTTATATACAATCAAATTTATGCGAGACCCTCGTAAATTGTGTGTAAGCTATACATGCAATATATGGATATATTTTCCAACATTTTATCGTAGAACATACATACACTTTATTGATCTTTTTACCTCGATAATTGTCGTCTAGAGATTTTATGTCTTTATGCACCAAATATAGATAAATCTCTAAGGTTTTTTCAGAGTCGAATTTTATTGACTAAAATACTGTCACACGTTTGGTGACTTTTTAATTGACAGAACGTTACGAGTCTAAAGGTGAAGGAACGGAATATTACCCCGACTATGAAAGCAAGTTTTACTATCAAATTTCTGTACAAGGCACTTATAAATTGTATCTTCCATACGTAGTGATATACTTTCTAACATTCAACATATGCTCCTTGATTATGCTTTCCTTGTTATCTCGTCATCTCAGGATATTTTACGTCTCCTTGCGCCCAATATTTTTAAGCATTTTCGATTCAAAATGCATTCATGAGATTGTTTGTGTAAGATAATAATAATATCCATAATAACTATAAAAATACCTTAAGAAGATTTGTACAAACAGGACGATTTTCCAAAGCTATAATTCACAAAGTTTAGGTGTTGAACAACACAAAATAAGTCAGTTTTAAGTTAATGTCGTCATCAAAAAAGAGCTTTTGACAATTCAGATGAACCTTCGGCGTACAAGTTTCAGGCACTGCGGATGATTGATAATTGGGGGGGGCTCATATTCATATATTCATGTTATAATCCTTAGAAAACAATGTATTTCAAAAGATCTTAAGCCTGCATATATAAATATATGAATATTAGCCCCCCCCCCCAATTATCGATCCTCCGCGGTGCCTGTTTATTATATGTTCCTTGTCATTTTGAGTAAAAACGCGACAGAGTGTTGGATATGAATAGATCAAAATATTGTATTATTCTGAGTACAAATTGTATTACAATGCGAAATAATATTGGTCAATTTTGGTGAATCTCAGCAGAAATAGATCCGTCCGCCATTTTTTCTGATCCGTTCCGCCGTTTAGTGGTTTTATTTGTTTGAATTTTGTTTCCTGAAATAAATTTAGAGGAGTTTGTAAAGATGCGTTCTGGCGGCCCCCATATGCCTTCTGGTAGTGGTGTCTCCCCTTAATCATTCGTGGGGTATTCCCCTCTGGCTGTACCCCAGCAACAACGCCAATGGTTCGGTGTTTCATAGATATACATAGGATCAATACATAGGCGTAGGAACAGATTTCAATTTGGGGGTGGGGTTAAAGTCGACAAGTATAGTATATACTCCACCCTTATTTTTTGAAGCTTTAGGGAGTCTAGTACAAACATTGAAATTGGAGAAAGTCATGAAACCTTTATAATTTAGTTGTACTTCATTACAACACACAAAGTACAAGTATAGTTCAAAAATCAATACATTGCACAAAACGAACGAATTTAACTAATAGCCTAAACGATTGGTCGTACTATTTACAAGCTACGAATTCTAGTTCGATGTCAGACTAAGATGTTTTCACTCTATGAAGAGTTAAAAATGGACCTTTGTTGTATGCATTAAATAGGTACAAAGAAGTTTATGAGCCCTACTACACATACAAGGACGTACGTTTTCATAATGTCGCTTATGAATGTTTTATGCAGTGCTGTGTTTGAAATTAAATGAAGATATGATCTTCGCACTTTGTTGGACAATTTAAGCAATTGTCTCATAAACCTGAAAAAATCAGGTGACTCAACGGGAATCGAACCCATGACCTCTGCGGTGCCGGTGCAGTGCTCTGACCAACTGAGCTATGAAGTCACACAGTGGTGAGCAGGTCAATTTTGTTGGGCTCATGTTTTCTCGTGAAAGGAATGTCTTGTGAAGAATGTTTTATGCAGTGCGGTGTTTGAAATTAAATGAAGATATGATCTTCGCACTTTGTTGGACAATTTAAGCAATTGTCTCATAAACCTGAAAAAATCAGGTGACTCAACGGGAAAACATGAGCCCAACAAAATTGACCTGCTCACCACTGTGTGACTTCATAGCTCAGTTGGTCAGAACACTGCACCGGCACCGCAGAGGTCATGGGTTCGATTCCCATTGAGTCACCTGATTTTTTCAGGTTTGTGAGACAATTGCTCAAATTGTCCAACAAAGTGCGAAGATCATATCTTCATTTAATAATGTCGCTTATCGTGCTAATTCAAGTGACATCCATAATTCGCATTTGATCTTAGCATAAATTTTGCTCGTTTGCGGTCTTTACTAAATCTGACAGTATTGATATTGTTATCCTTCTTAAGTCAACTTCTACTTCGTTCTTGAACTTTCTGTAGTCTGTGTGATAGGTACATAACATAAAACCCCTATATGCACCTATCACAAGAAAGTATATATTGAAGATGGCATCATGAGATGTTGAAACATGTTTATTTTAAAAAAACTTGTAGTATTAATTACCGTTATCACTTCGCTTGATTTCTTTTTTCTACAAACATTTTCAAAGTTTCAATTCAAGCATTCATGGAAAAGAGTCCGCTTAAGGACTCTTAAAACATTTACTAAAATTATGAAAGAAAATATTTTGGATGAAATTGATAGTGGTGCAAACAAGGGTGAAGTTGAACGTGAAAACAGACAAAGTTCATATTTTAGGCTTAGAAGATCATGGGTCTCTTAAAGAGAGTAATGTTGGCAATAGAACAGGTTACAAATGTCTCGTGAAACTCTTCATAATGGTGGTGTATCAGCGAATAAAACTCATGAAGCTAAAAAGAGGCGTGTGGACGACAAGATTCGTGTTTCCCACGAGAATCGTGGATCTAACGTGGACGAGATGCTAATGTGTATGGTGTTGTTGAAGAATGGAAGTCTTCTTCAGAGTTTCATGAAAACAGAAAAAAGGAAAGTGGTAATTTCAATGTGTATGATAAATTTGGAGAATATGTGAAGCTAAAACCCAATGCTTTACTATGTACAGAGAGGTTACAGCCAATCAATTTCTCTTTCAAGGCGACAGCGTCAATGACGTCACGTAGTATGGCATCACATGACAACCGTTCAAGAAACATGATGCCCAGTTATTCAGTGAGAAATTATACCAACATGGGCTACAGTCAATATGGCGATGATATGTCTAGTGTTGGTCATCAACAACCTGTTGTTGTTGTGAGAACATTTGATCATCCAGGAAAGTCGAATTATTACAGGTCAGTTGTACTACCGCGGGTCAGCAATACTATTTCAGGTCAGTTGTACTACCACAGGTCACTTAAACTATTACAGATCAGTTGTACTACCACAGGTCAGTTGTACTATTACAGGTCAGTTGTACTACCACAGGTCAGTTATACTATTACAGGTCAGTCGTACTACCACAGAGCGTTTACACTATTACAGCTTGGTTGCAGTACAAGCCATTGACTCGAATTCAACTGCACACGTAATTCTACTCTGTTATTTATTCACCTCCAATGGCTTACTATGGTTAATTTTATCAAACACACACGTTGTCTTTCAGGGATGTATTGCTATCGCTAATTGGGGCTTTTGTTCATATATGCATGTTATAAATCCGTAGATAACAATACATTTCAAAAGATATTAATTCAGCATATCATGAATATTTGAATAAGAGCCCCCAATTAGCGATAGCAATACATCCCTGTTGTCTTTCCTTTGGTTTTTAATGTTTCTAAAATTACCATTGCTCTTTGTAGACAAAGGAGATCATTGCCAAAAAACCATTCAAGACTGAACTACAAAAAATCATTTAAATCCATAACGACTCGCAGACGAAAACCTTTACCATCTGCCTGGACAACAAACCTTCGAAATTCGCCGTCAAGACATGAAAATTATGAAGATGTTCACTCTTATTACTTACCACCTAGAAGAAAAGACAAATATCAAGGTTCAACTCGTACACGAGATTACATGAATCACGAAATGAAAGTTCGTGAAGCTAAAAGTCACGATTCTGCCTATAGTAAAAGATACATTGTTGAAAACCGTCCAAAACTATCCCATGCTAAAAATGCTAAAACCTCGACTTATTACAAAGCTTCTGGTCGATCGCAACTCAGCTTACATTCATATGCGTCAGAAGTAGATTATAAATCATCGCCTGTCCTTCACGACCAAATTAAGGATCAAAATTTTCAAGTAATTTATTCCGACAAAAAGTGGGAAGAGAAATCACATGACCCAGAAATCATGTCCACTGTCAGTGGCAGTGAGTTTTCTGAATTCTTACCCGTTCCTCCACGGCCAAGCGACAGCCAATCAGATATCTCTACGGATAGATATTCCCGTGGTAGTTATAAATCATTTCTAGTGTGTATATTTTCTTATGTTCGTGACAATTTTATGAACTACGTGGCGGAAATAGATACGCAGGCAAATTGTATTATGAAAAGTATAGTTGTCGAGAAAACTGGTCTTGGATTTATCTTATTCAAACTTGTGGTTTATCATTTATATATAAACCATTTTGCATTGATACTTTAAATATCGTCGTTTATGAACATTTTTATGAATAGATTATTGAAGAAACGGTTACTTGCTTGTCTTCGATTATTAGATCGTGTACGGAGAGATCTTGAAATAAGATCTTATTTTGAGATCAGTGATCGTGCAACTGAAAATGTCAGAATATCTTATGTCAGATACTTCTGGAAATCGTGAATTACATGGATTTTTAAGCATTAGAATTAATATATTGCTTCATGTTTGCATGCATTTACTATATTAAGAGGGGGGGGGCACATTACTCTCAATCTTTCCTAAATGTTTTAAATTGTCCTCCTATAGTCTTGTTGAACTTTTAGTGAACCACAACTATAGCAAATATTCAAGAATATCGAAGAACGATGTCATGTACTTTAATGCTTGAAAAGTAAGTAATCAAAGTTACCGGTTTATTAACGATGCACCATACTGAACAAACACAAAAGAGAAAATTAAAGAATGATGAGAATATTAAAATGACTTGTTCTCTCGCAGTCGGATTTATATGCCATATGAATACGATATGAATATTTTATGTTTATTCTACTTCTGTGATAGTAACGACATTTAAAATCATATTTATCGTTAATTGACCTTGAAGTTTTTAATAGAAATGTTCCCAAAGTTTGTGTTGGTGTTATACATTTGCAGGAAAATTTCGCCATATAAGTTGGCAAGTTTTTTGAACAAGCCTGGGTTATTGAAAACAAACGAAGATTAACATTTTCTAATTTACATATTTTTATGTATCTTATACTAAATTTTGTAACATTAAAACAGTACTCTTAATTTTGACACCTTTT